ATGGACAAGGAATACAGGGAATGAACAAGGAATACAGGGAATGGACAGGGAATACAGGGGATGGACATGGACACCAAGGAATGGACAGGGAATACAGGGAATGCACAGGGAATACAGGGAATGGACAGGGAACCCTGAGAATGGACATGGAACACAGGGAGTGGACAGGGAATACAAGGATTGGACAAGGAACACAGGGAATACTCATGGGACACAGGGAATGGACAGGGAAGCCAGGGAACACTCATGGAACCCAAAGAATGGACAGGGAACACAGGGAATACTCATGGAACCCAGGGAATGGACAGGGAACCCCGGGAATGGAGCTGGTCCCCCCAGCACAGTCCCAGTCCCCAAGGGACAGAGACCTTGGAAAGGGCCTGGAGGGCCAGGACAAGGGGAAGAGCTTCCCACTGCCAGAGGGCAGGGTTAGATGGGATAGATGGGATACTGGGAAGGAATCCTTCCCTGGGAGGGGCTGGGATAGAATTCCCAGAGAAGCTGTGGCTGCCCCATCCCTGGGAGTGTCCAAGGCCAGGCTGGAGCACCCTGGGGCAGTGGGAGGTGTCCCTGCCACAGGGGGTGGGACTCCACGACCTTCAAGGTCCTTCCCAACCCAATCCCGGGATTCCCCGAGGCTGAAGAGAACACGGAGCCTGCAGGGATTTCTCAAACAGCAGAACTTTATTGCCCACAGACAATGCAAACAGTTTCCACACTTGCTGCACTTCCAGCAAGTCGCCTACTTAACAAGGTTCACAAAAAAACCCCAAAAAACCTCTTTATTTCAGAAGGACCCCTGTTGTTCTTTGAGCATATTCTCATTTCAGGTGTCTATTATTGCTCAAATCTACAGTCTGGTTGTGATTGGCCACTCAGTCATGAGATATGCACAATTAAAGGTGATGCAGGACTCCCAGGCATTAATTGTTTAATTAGAAAATAGACCAGTTGTAGGAGAGAAAACAACCCAAAAGGATAATATTTTGAATTTCTGAGTCCAGGCTTTCTTTGGGCACAACTGGCTTTCAAGCAGAATGGGATATCAATAGAAAAAACAAAATACTGTACACTGATTTGGAGAAAAACCCATGTCAGCAGAGATTGGGTGTTCACACTAAGGATTGTTCTAAAAAACAAAACAAAACAAAACCAAAAATAAAGAGGAAAAATGTCATTGGATCAAAAAAAACAAAAACAAAAACACATCTCCATGAGTCCAACACAATTAGTCCAAACACTGAATTACTGACTGTAGTTTTAAGGGCACCTCCCCCAAAATGGGGATCTCCTCCAACTTCTCTCCAACGAGAGCAAATGTCCTTTTCTTCTAGACCAGGTCCTTAAATATCCTAAATATCCTAAATATCCTAAATTTTTTTGAAGGCAAAGGAAGGACTCAGCTCTGTAAAGCTTTTCCTGGCTGGCAGTGCCAAACAAGGGCCAGGACACCCCGGCCCAGGGCCTGTCCCTCCACCCTGGAGAGAAGGAGGGTTAAATTCCAGGTCACTGAAGTTTCCCCCCCTCTCCCCTCCTGCCTTAAAAAAAAAAAAAAAAGGAATTCAGATTTCAAGGCAACAGTAAAAACCACAGAGGTATGGAAAGAGAAAAACTTGCTGCTGTTTTCAAAGTCAGCACAGCAAGGAAATCAGAGAGACAGTTAATTCCTGGGAAATTGGGATATAGAGGGGAAACTCTGGCATTCCAGCTGTGGACAGTAATGGTGGGGGTGGATTTAATGCACCAAAAGCCACGTGAGAAAAGTAACTGAGAAGTGATTTAGTGGGTTCTCAAGGTTAAGAGACATTTAGCAGCAGAGAACAGAGGGAGCTTCCCTCCCTCAGACACTCCCAAAATCCTGCTTCACACTTTGCTAAGGACACGACCCCAAACCCCACTGGTTAGTGCCAAAAGGATGCATATCTCTTCCAAATGGCCAAACTCACAAGCAAAAAAAACATTTAAAACCCAGAAGGTTGTTTAGTTCTACATTTATTGCAGCTATTCAAAGGGTTAACAATGCTAACAGGGGTTGTTTTTTTTTATTTACTTACACTACAGGGAAATGCATTGCCACTGGCTTAGCACTGCTGCATCTGCACGGGACAGAAACGAGCAAATTCTCTACAGGATTAATGGCAAAACCCAACCAAAAGACAGTAGACACACCACTGAAGTTAGTTAAAATGTTCACTGAAGCTTGCAGTCTTCATGGAAGAGAGCCTGGAACTAAAATAACAGAAAAGAAGCTTGTAAAAACCTCCGGCAAAGGCAAAGTGTCTGCATCACAAACGTTTCACATCTTACAGCTCCTCAGAGCTGCCTGCAAAAAGGCAGGGCAGAACCAAAGGAGGAGTGTACAAGGTCAGCTCTTGGCAAAAAACAAGATCAAGTGGCAAAGGGTGAACCCAACGTGGGAGCAACGCTGGAATTTCGGCACCAGAGCCGAGAGCAGCTCCCAAATTCGGGGTTGGCACAAGACAGGCCACGCTCCAGCTCAGGAGGTTCCCAATGTGCACCTTTACTCTCAAGGCAGCTTTAAACTCTTAAGCTGAACTCTCAGGGAAGGGCAGCACCACTTCCCAGCCCGGATTCCAAGGGTTCTCCCAGACTGAGGGGAGCAGGAGCCCAGCAAAGGCACCTCCAGGGGGGCTGTGCCCGTTTAACTCGGGTTAAACCAGAGCAGCCCCGAGGGCTGGGCTGGGGCTGAGGGCTGGGTTTCACTCCAGCCTGCAACTCCACCCTGGCAATAACAGGCCATGGAATCAAGGATCCTTCTTCCAAAGCAGGAAATGGGAAAGAAGAGGTGAACTGGAATCGTGCAGGGATATAAAAAATCAGGGGCAGCAACGCACTGGCAGCTTCACCCCTGGGCTAAGAGGAAAGCTAAACCCTCTGGAGTGGGTCTGAGGGATAAATCAGAGGCCAACAGAGCTGGTTCCAGTTATTCCAAGCCAGACTGGGACTGGGAGATCTCGTTGGAAGGCTCAAGCTTTACACTGGTTAGGCCCAGGAAAGAAAGGGAGGGGGGGCAGTGAAAACCACACCCAAACAGGAGTTAAACAGCTCAAACCGCCAAATACTGGGACTGAGGATTTTCCCTGCGGTCCAAGAAATGTCTGGGCTCTCAAAATGTCCTTAAATCTGACCACCAGATAAACTTATTTGTATTCAGGGCCTTTGTGCTTCAGCTTCTTGCACTGCAGGAGGTGAAGACACGTGGGAAAAAAACTCCACACCCGTGGAAAAACGGAGCCACCAGTGGGTTCCTCTGTGGTGTTATTGGGTGATTTTGTGCTTCAAGGCAACCAAAACTGAGTGAGCAGAAAACTGCACAACGCCATGATCTTGTTCCTTTTGGTTTCAAAGTCAGTAAAGGAAAAAAAAAACCAAAAAAAAAAATCAAGTTGCATTGATAAACTAACAGTGCTTTGCTGCCAGGCAAGGAAAACTTGCTGCTGGGGGGAGACTGGAGATGGAGACACTCCCCTGCGACCACTTTTTGGTGGAGGAAGAGCAAAATGAGGCTCTCTGAACAGCAAAGAACACAAATCTTGCAGATTTGCCAGGAACTGGAGCTGCTGCCACATCCCTGGGGGTGCTCTGCAAGGATGGGGAGAGCAGAATGTGCTGCTGGTCAGCCCAGGAGCAGCTCTTTAAAGAGTGGGAGCAGGTTTGGGTGCTGTAAACACTCAAGTGAAGCCCTGGGGCTGGTTTTGGACAGGTCAGGATGGAGGATTGCACTAGAAAGTGCCATGTTCAATTCTGTCCCTCTCAGAAATGCCTCAGTGATGTGCAAGCCAGGGAAAGATGAGTGATCAGACCTTGGAGGGTTGTTTTGGTAACACTTGTTAAATCTTCCACGTCTTCAGGGCTGCTTCACCAAGCAGGTAAAACTTTTTGTTCATTAATCCAGCCTTCTCTTTCAGTAAATTCTGGAATAGTCCCTTAAAAGTATAAAGTTTTTTGTCTTAGGTGTTGGGATTTTTCAATCAAAGAACTTCTGCAAAGCAGATGTTTGATAGAAATGACTCTCTAAACTGATGGTCTTATAAAAGTGATGATCCACTTCCAAGTGTTTTCTTCAGTGTTTTCTGCAGGCACATGAACCTGCACCCCCCTCATGACTTAAAACTCCTTGGAGAGGGAAAAGAAGTGATTCAAGGATTTCTTGGGGCAGAGCTGCAAATTTGTGTCCAAACAAAAAGCACACTTAGAACTGTACAGCTTGTTCACTGCGAGGAAAAAAACCTTCCCAGCTGAGCTTTCCCAGGAAGGGTTTGGTGCTGTCAGACTGGGATGGACTCAGCTGCTCACCCTGCACTAAAAAGCCTGGACTCCCACCCCAAATAAAACACACAGGGGTGGAGACTCTTCTGAAAACTGGTGCAGGGAGGGGAGGAAACAGCTTTGTGCAGAAGTGGGTTGGAAGGTTGGACCCCTCAACAAAATGCAGGGTCACAGAATCTGAACTGCCTCACAAAAGGTCTGAATTTGAGAAGGGTCTTGCTTTCAGGAAGGGCCAGAACCAAACCAGGCCCATGGTGGTTCTCATGTCACTTATTCCATTTTTTTTTGGGGTGAGGAATCTCATCACAAAACAGGCAAACTTGGCCAGAGAGAGAGAGGAAGAGAAAGAGAGAGAGAGAGAGGTAAAACCAGGCACTTCTGAGCCCAAACCAGCTGTTTCTTCCTCAGAAGATGCCACCCAAGCTGTTAGCTTGCACAACACAAGGCTAACTGGAATCTTGGAGGATATTTAAATACATTAGCACTGGAGTCCACTACTCAGAGACCAGAGTGCTCTTCATACTCTGCTGAAGATCTTTCCCACAGCAGCTTTGCATTTCCCAGGCACTTTAGAGCCAGCCAGTCTCTTTATGTCAAACCTAGAAAGCAAGATTTTGGGGGGTAATTCAGCAGTTCAAAGCACTTCACCGGAGCTCTGGACTCTCATGAAATGTTCAAAAAGCACAGCTAACACTCATGGGAACAGCACTGATTTCTCAGAAAGGGAAGGTTTAACCAGCCCTGGGAGTGAATGTTGGCAGTGGCCTTGGCACGTACCTATTTACTTGCTCTTTTCTGCCTGTACATTTGTATCATTCTCTGACGGAAAACATCAAATGCATCTTCTTTATTTTCTTCCCCTGCAACACCCAAGCCCTCCCCTGCAGAGGTAGCACCCCTAGGGAGCAAAATGGAGAGTTAGAACACTCTGAGCCCAGGACAACGTGCAGAAGAAAAAAAAAAAAAGAGAAACAACAGCTTCCAACCCAGACACAACTCAAGGGGGGAGTCACAATTCAAGGGGGGAGTCACAATTCAAGGGGGGAGTCACAATTCAAGGGGGGAGTCATAATTCAACAGGAAAGTCATAATTCAACAGGAAAGTCATAATTCAAGTCATAACTCAAGGGGAAAGTCTTTCTGCTTCATTTGGGGCAGAAGGGGAGCAGAGGTCTGGGAGCAGTGATCATCTCAAGCAATCCCCACCTCCCATTTCACGTGCAAACCCCACCCAGGAGAAGGTGCTCCCGTCACAGTGAAGGTGTAAATCATCTCCCAGGTCAAATTCTTCCATGGATTTTGAACTCCAGCCACGGGGAGATGCTGGAGAAGTGGCAGAAGTGACCTTGGTTCTTTTCATATTTCAAAAGTGACCCAGGGCAGAGACTCTGAGGAACGAGCAGGGAACACCACAGAGCTCTGGAGAAAAGGAGGTTTGGCTGAGGGAACATAATTCTGCTTGTTTAAAATTCCCACCACAGACAGACCCTGCAGCTCCTGCCCTTCCAAGAAAAATGAGCCATTAACTCAGCTGTTCATCCCAAACGTGCCAAGGGGAGAAGAGAAACCTTGACAACATCAGAACATCTTCCAGGATGGAGAGGGTGACCCACAGCAGTGCAGAGACAGAAATAACTAAAACCCTTTTACTCCAGCCTTTGTGTGTGCAGAACTCAGACCTTACAAAGCCAAGATTAACAAAACCTCTGCCCCAGGAAGGATCCTCTGTGCCAGGTCTGTCTTCCAGGCCAGTTAAATTACTGTTATCTATCACAGATAAAGGATTTAGAATAAAAAACCAATCAAAGGCGTGAGATAATTACTCAGAGGAGGGTCTGTCCCATAACAACGTTCTGCCTTTGAGTGTGGTTCTGGTTTCTCACGTTTTAAATATCTCAGGGTGTGACAAACCAGCTCTCAGGGCAGGGAACAGCTCAAAAAACGAACAGGAAACCCCACTGAAAATATCAGGAGCCACCATTTCCACGAGGAGTCACCAGGAAACTCAAGTAACTTTTCCAGGAACAGAAATCATGTGGCTTTCTCTCTGCAAATGTGACTTTCTCTCTGCAAATGTGACTTTCTCTCCGAGCCAGAGATGAGCTTTAAGTTTTCCCAACACAGAAAGAGCCTCAAGTTTGTGCCTTTAACAGCTGCTGTGCCTGAATGCACCAGTTTGAGAGATCACTGTTATATAATGATTAAGGAAGGCTCTGCTACACAAGAACTGGAGTCTCTCCAACTATTAATCCATCCCTTTTTCCCAGGGAATGAGATCAGACAGCACATGGACTTTTAAAGAAGTCACCAGTGGAGAGCAGTTTTAAAAGGGGAGGAAAGAGCTATCAAATGGGGAAAAAAATGCATCAAAAAGTGGAAAAAAACCCTGCATCAAAACAACTGAAAAGGAAAAGGAAAATGTTAAATTGCACTGGGTTTGTCCTCACTGAGACTGTCCTTGGCTGGGGAAGTAAAGAGAAGAGCATGCCATGAAAATCAGTCTCAGAGTTTCTCTCCACACCACAGGTTTTGTAAAATAAACAGAAGTTCTTTCCAAGAGTGATCAGCAATGGCCTCGAGCTGGAAAACCTGTGTTTTCCCCCATTAAAAATTAAAGGTGGCCAGAAACTTGCAGAATGTGCAGGGCTGACAGACCAGACACAGTTAATTAGCCCGTGGTCAGGTGCAAAATTTGTGCCAGGAGCTACAGAAACAACACGAATTCCTCCTGGATTTGGTCCCAACAGGTTTGGGAAGTAAAAACCCCAAGGTTCTCAGAGTGCTGAGCACAAGAGCTACAGGTGGCACGAGCTGCTTCCTCACTGCCTTTTTCCTGCTGAAGGAGGAAATGTGGAAATATATAATTATGGCTGCTGGAAAAAAAAACAAAACCAAGCAAACCACCAAAAGAAATCGTTTCATAACCCATTTTAAATGGCCAAGGCACGAGGAGGACACGGAAACCCCTGGAGAAAAGAAGATTTTTGTTAAACCACAGACAGAAAGTTGGTTGTGTGGGTTCAGAGAGAAAGAAATTTATGTGGGTTCAGAGAGAAAGAAATATTCTGCTCCTTATTCAGCTGGGGAGTGAAGGAGGGATTATCCACGAGGAGATATTAAGCATAAGGGAATGTTATCCATGAGGAGATATTATCCATCCTCTGGCAGCAGTGGACATTGGAAACAGCAACTTTAAATGACAAAAGGAGGAATAAACCCCCAAAATTTCAGGGAAGACACACACTTACCTCGTGGCAGGTGCACTTACCTCCTTCCTCATGCAGTGGAATGAATCAAATAATTAAGAGTGACAACAAATGAGCTGCCTAAACCTAGAGATGTGTGACGTTCCTAAATCCCATTTATACTCTATGTGCAAGGAGATCCTCGGGATAACGTGTTAAAAATCCCTGACAAAGTCACTGTGAGCATTCCCAGCCTTTTCCAGAGCTGCCAGAGCTCTGTGTTCCCATTACATACACTTTTACAGGCTCTCTGATTCCTTTCCCTCGTGTCCCGAGGCCGTGTCCCTCCTGCCAGCCCATCTTCTGGAGCATCTGGAACCCCACGTTCCTGTGTGTCAGCCTCTTGTGGGAGAACTCCAAATCTTTTGGTTTCTATGGAGAGGAAAGACAACAGAACAACAAAGGTGGGTTGTTATCCAGGGAGATCATTTAAAAAAAAAAAAAAACAAACCTCAAAATCCACCCCCACCCCGCCACAAACTGGGTGGGTTTGAATTTCTGGATCTACAGAAATAGCTCCTGAGCAGCATTTCAGCAGCTCCACAGAACAAAAAAAAAAATCAAAGTTTTGAACCTTGCCAGTTCAAAAAAATATCCCCTTCGGGTTCTCAGACTGTTTAATTACATTATTAAGATGGCAAACAGCACACCTTTGTATTTTCAAAAGTATCTGTGCTTTTTAAATAATGAATACTGAGTGATCTGATGGCTGAATCCCTGCTGCAAACACAGAAGCAGCCAAATAACATCTCACCAATTCTGGAAAAGTGCAGCATGTTTTTCAGGCAGCAAGGCACCCATTTCTTTATATTATATTTTTTTTAATAGCAGATGAACACACAGCTATTCAATAGTGCTCCCATCATGAAATGTTTAACTCTGATGCAGGTATTTAAAACCTAAACCCAACAGGTTTTTAGGAGGAGTCACAGCTCTCCTCAGGTTTAGTCCAGACCTCTCCAGGATCAGGTTCTGCAGGTTTTAGTTTGATTTCATGGTAGAGAACATGTTTTTGGGGCTGCCTCTTGTAAGAAGAGCTGATTCTCAGGGGGCAGCTGCAAACCAAGTGGGTTCTTTACCTTCTTCTTCTTTGTAACTGGGCAACCCCGAGGTCTGTCATAAGCAATCCTGACAGGCTCGTGCACTGCAAGGCAGAGCAGGGACAAAAATCAGCTGCAAAGAAAAACCTTTGTGGTACAGGACCCCAAAAGTACATCCCAAAAGAACATCTTAACTCTTAACACCTGGGCCTGAAGTCAGAACCAACGAGAAAGATCAGAATAAAATAATAAAAAAAAAAAAAAAAAAGAGGAGAAGACATTAAATATATACTTAGAGAATAAATATATACTTAGAGAATATTTGAGGGATGATGTTTGATACAAACTCTGTACTGCACCATGAGAGAAAACCTGTTATATGGCTTATTCAGTGTAAGGAACATTTAAAGAGAACGTTGTTTTCGTTCTTGTGCCGAAATTCTTTCGGCCAACAACCACCCACCTAAAATCCAGGAGCTCTGTGCCACTGCCTACAAATTCCCTGTTGGATGAGGCTCACCTTTTGGTTCTTCTATGAGGCAGATCCTTTTAGAGGCAGGGATCATCCCAACCTTCAGGGACTTGCTGCTGATTCGTTTGCGGGGGAAGGGGGTGCCGGGGGCAGCGGCCGGTGCCTGTGTCGACAGATTTGGTACAGCACCATCAGAGGGGCTGGAAAGCTGCATTTCACCTGCTGACATTTCCTCTCCTGTTTTGGAAACCATCTCTTCATCTAGGTTTTCCACACTTCTACCTGCTGGCACGTCCTCCTCGTCTCCCTCCTCTGCTTGCTCCGTTTCTTCCAAAGGCTGGGAAATGTCCTCCTCAAACTCGGCTTCCTCCTCGTTCTCTTCCTCCTCTTCTTCTTCTTCTTCCTCCTCTTCCTCTTCTGAAAGATCCAAAGTCCTCTCTCCAGCTTTAGCACCTTCCCCAGCCTCAGCTGCTTCAGACACAGCGCTGAAGTTGATGGAGGGACACAACTCATAGACCTTCATCCGGTAAAATTTGAAAGCAGAGCTGTTTTGATCCTGTAGAAACCTGAGCAAAAAAAAAAAAACAACAACAACCCAAAAACCAGTCAAAACAGCATCAGAAAAAGATCTTTTAGCTGGTGTGAGAAGCAAGGCATTAGAAATAAATCTCTGGTTGATTTTGGAGAGGTCATTTCAGGGTTCCCTGACAACAGGCACCACAAACAGCAACTACTCCCCTCAATTCTGATGTTCAGCAGCACTTCCCAAACCGTGCTGTGAAGAATTCAGTGGGATTCTCTTAAAAACGGTTTGGCAGGGCACTGTTTCAAGATTCAAGCTGATTATTTAGTTTATAAAAGGAAGAAATGTGCTTTTTGGAGAAGCAGTTTTCCTTTCTCGGGTTATTTCGGATATTCACCATGAACGGAGGTGCTGAAGACAACAGGGAGTATTTGCCCCAAATCCTCTGTTCCTAAACACACCAGATAAAAACAGACATCTCAGCAAACAATGAAAGGGAGGAGGAGCATTTGGAGGTTTCTGCTCAGCCCAAGGACACAGGGAAAGGTGCAGTTACTCACCAGAGGTCTGGGTTATCTGCACTGTTGTCTATGCTGAACTGCTCGATTTCTGGTCCTACCTGAGCCACAAACTTGGCAAGTTTCTCTGCAGTTTCCATGGTTTTGGCATCCACTGCAAGAAACCAAACGTTCTGTCAGCTTCCCACAAACCCTGCACGGCTGGGAGGTCACAGCACTTGAGAACTACCAGCTTCAGCACAAGAAATGATTTTCAGAACATCCAGCAGGACACACTCGACGCTGTTCCCTCCCATCACCGACAATTCCGAAGCCAATCCCGAATCTTCACTTACCATCAGGAAACTGAGAGGCCAGCGGTGGGAAAAGCTCTGGTGGTGCTGATAAATCCTCGGGATCTGCCCTTTCCTCTGCTGGCAGAGAGGCCTCGGAGCCGGGGCCACGCTGTGGGGACGAGGTGGGGACGAGGGGAGAGTTCTGCTGGGACAGGCTGGAGACCTGGGCTGGACCTGGAAGATGTTTGTCTTGGTGCCTCAGCACTGTCCCAGCTGAAAGCACAGTCTGTGTCCCTATGGTTGCTCTCCTCACCTTCCTTCCTCGGGTGCCACGCTGGGGGAGCACTCCAGGCCTTTTTCTCTTGAACAGTCTTCTCTTAATACTTGCAATTTTCCTGGCGTACAGCAGGGCCCTGATGGATTCTGTGGCAGCTTCTTCTGGGGTCCTGCCCTCCCCACCCTCCTCCTTCCTCCTCTGCATCTCTGACAACTTCAGTCTGTAATATTTGTACTCCAGGCTGTCCTCATCAGACAGGAACCTGAAGAAAAAATCACAGAAACGAAATGAAAGCCGAGCTGAAAGCATCAGAAGCTCAGCAATCCACCCTTTCTTCCAGGTGTCTCTACACCAGCCTCAGCAGGTTTTTTTCTTGGAATAACAGCCAATTCCATGTCTGAAGCAGCAAGGAAAGTGTGCCAAGCAAATAAAGCAAGCAGGGGTTTGACACAAATCATTTGGGTGGTAATTAATCAGCTCACACGTGAAGAGACACTGTCATGTGAAAAGATCATCACGCTTGGAAGTGCCTCAGCTTTCCTTTTCCAACATTATTCATGGAACACCAAATCCCTGAGCCTGTTGCCTTCCTGGGTGTTCACATCAACTGCTTTTACTTGTTCACCTCCTAAATGCAAATTTGGTTTCTAACACCTTGCCTTCGGATTGACAAACACATCAAAAGGAACGTGAGCTGCTCCCCGCAACAGAAGCATTTCCAGGGATACCAGGGAAGTATAATTAGCTCAGGAAACATCTTCCAAAAAAATCTGATTAAACACACAATAGGGCTTTGATCTTCCACCCAGGGAAAGGCTGAGCCTAATTACATCTATCCCAAATATCTTCATCAGAGGGGGGTCATTACAACACACAGTTCAAGCACACCCACCAATATTCAGGGCAGTTCTTCTGAGCACTCCTGTCTTTGGCAGACAAGGTTCCTGACACGATGCTCTTCACCAGCTGCTCAATTGTCTCCACAACTTTCCTATCAGCTCGTTGTGGGACTGTTGGAAGACATAAAATACAATTAAATCCAGCCACTGATTATTCTCGTCGCCAGAGCGTGGATATGTTGGGTTTTTTTATTCTCTGACAGGCTGATACTTGCAATTTTTCAACATGTTTTAATAGAAAGCAGGCTGCACTTAATCCCAGAATGCCAGGATGGGTGGGGTGGGAAGGGACCTCTGGAGGTGCCCCAGTCCAAGCCCCCTGCCCAGGCAGGGTCCCCTGGCACAGAGGTGGCACAGGGACACATCCAGGTGGGGTTGGGATGTCTCCAGAGAGGAGACTCCACACCCTCCCTGGGCAGCTGTTCCAGGCTCTGCCACTTCCATGGAAAGAAGTTCCCCTCACGTTGAGCTGGAACTTGCTGTGTTTTAGTTTCTGGGCCATCACTCCTTGTCCTGTCTCTGGGCACCATGAACAGAGTCTGGCCCCATCCTGACACCCTCTGGAGACACTTATGGATCAATGGGATCACCCCTCAACCTCCCCTTCTCCAGACTAACCAGGCCCAGCTCCTGCAGTCTCTGCTCATCAGAGAGATGCTCCAGACCCCAAATCACCTTTGTGGCCTCTGCTGGACCCTCTCCTTGTCCTTCTGGAAGTGTGGAGACCAGAGCTGAACACAGCACTCCAGATTTGGCCTCACCAGGGCCGAGCAGAGGGGCAGGATCCCCTCCCTGACCTGTGACCACACTCTTCCCAGTGCACCCTTCCAAAACCACAATAAATTAAGGAAACCTCTAAACTTTAAATGAGATTCTAGACCACATTATCATAAAAAAGCACCACGGTCTAAGAAACTTATCCTTGGTCACCCTGGGCAAGTTAAGTCCTCCTCAAAAAGGCAATTCCTTATTGCACCAAAAGGATTTTTGTGCAAAATAAGTTTATTTGAACGCTTGCCCTGAGAGGGCACGTTCCAAATTATCAGTCAGCCAGTGCCAGCGCTGCAGGAACCTCCCTGAGAGAGGATCTGAAGTTCAGTTAGGAAAAAAAGCAATCTGAAAGAATCTGGAGTTCAATCAGGAAAAAAACAGATGAGCAGAATAATGAGCAGGAATGTTTTAGGGAGGAGGAACTCGCTGGTCTAATGCAGTGGAGAGTAAGTGTTCCTGTAGATGAGAGGACAGAAACATCTCCAAAAAAAAATACACCTGGAGCTGATAAAAGAGTGGTGATGGTAACAGCTCCAAATTTGCATATATGCAAATACTTACTCTGTAATGAAGCCAGTTCCAGGTTGGTCCTGGCCTCCCCACCTCGAGGGGGTGAGGCTGGAGGGGCAGCCAAGGGCACGAGGTGAAAATCCTGGATTTAAGGTATCAGCACGTGCCAGAGAGGGGAGGGAGGAGACAACAGGAGAGCATTTAACTCCCTGCCTCGGCTGCTGGGGATTTACACGGAATTCCCACAATTAGCAATTCCTGACCTGGTGAAACCATAAAAAAGCACCAAGAACTTACATCCTGCAAAGCATCTCAGAGCAGTGCCCTCCCTTTTACCTTTCGTGTCAGCAGAGGGGGTTTTAAGCTGCTCTGTGGCCTCGGGTTCGGGTCTTTTCATCTGGATGGGGTACCCACTCTTCTCCAGCCAAGCCTTCAGGTTCTCAATGTACTCCCTCCCGAACAAAGTGGAGTCGTCGAAGTTCGGGAAGAGCGTCGGCGCCGGAGCCATTTCCTGGAGCCCCACGGCCTCGAGGATCTTCTCCTGCCTGAAAACAGACGCCAGGGCAAAGGTCTGGCCCAGGAGAGCCAGGGACTTCCGACACAGAGACACGGTGGTCTCGAAAGCACCGGCCATCTCTCTGGGGTTCCCAAAGCCGCTCGTCTTGATGCTCAGCTCGTAGGCGTTGCAGGCCATGAGCAGGGGGGTGACCCCCTTCAGGAGCCGGTCCTGGAGCCTCATGATGTATTTGTCGAAGGGTTTGATGATCTCGAAGAAGCAGTTCTTGGTTTTCACGGCGCCCTTGTCCAGCAGCATGTTCAAAAACTCGTTGTCCACCTTGGGGGTTTTCAGGGCGGCGTGCTGCAAGCTCTTGATGGTGAAGAAGCAGTAATCCCTGTGCTCTGGCCTCAGGGAGCACTTGAAGGAGGCCAGCATTTTGGCACAGGTTTCTGTCTCCAGCTCGAAGAGAGCCCCGAAGAGCCGGGAGAACTCGGCGTCGTTCTTGATGGCGTGGAACCCGGCCCACTTTATGATCTCCACTCCGAACGTGGAAAAAATGTCTGATTTATCCACCAGGTCGAAGCTGAGGTTCCTGAACACGTGGGCAGGCTTTGGGAGCCTGAGGATGGGTCTCTGGGCCGCCAGGGCAGGCCTTTGATTGGGTCGTGGAGGCAGCTTTTGGACGGGCACCGGTCCCTGCTCGGGTTCTTCGGCAGCTTCCAGGGGCTGCTCCAGCGCCTGCGGATCGAGGCCCGGCTGCGGTTTCTTCACGTTCCACTTCTTGAGGGGAGTTTTGACCTCTCCTTTGAACACTTTACCCTTAACCACACCCCTCGTGAGCCGCTTTCCCCTCAGGATCCTCCCCCTGCCAACGGCCCCCCTCCGGATGGGGGGCCGGAACTCGCTGTCTTGGACCCCGAACTCCACGTCGTACTCCTGGTTTTCCACGCCGCCGTACTCTTCCTCCATGAGCCCCGGCGACCTGAAGTCCCCCAGGATATCCGAAGGGCTAAAATCGGGTTCGTGTGGCCCGGCAGCTTCCCAAGAGTCAGGAGGGCCATAATCCTGGTCGTGGGAAGCCAGGCCCCCGTAATCCCTCTCGTGGGAAGCCGGGTGTCCATACTCCCGGTCGCGCGACGCCGGGCGCCCGTACTCCCGGTTTTGGGCAGCTGGGTGCCCATACTCCCTGTTTTGGGCAGCTGGGTGCCCATACTCCCTGTTTTGGGCAGCTGGGCGCCCGTACTCCCGCTCGTGAGGCGCCGGGCGGCCGAACTGCCGGTCCCGCGGCACGGGGCGGCCGAACTGTTCGTGGTAGTAGTTGTCCTTCCGCAGGAGGGGACTCGCAGGCCTGTAGGAAGGGCCTGGATAGTCCTCCCGGGGGTCTTCCCCCCACTCCTCGGGGGGGTGGCGGGGCTGGGGGTTGTCGTGGGGGTATCTCCCGCCGTCGTGGAAGCTCTCGTCGTAGCGCGGCCTCGGGACGGGCCTGGAGTGGGCTGGGGGGAGAGAACACACCAATGCACTGCCAGTAGTGTTGAGAAAAACCATTTAATGAGCGTACCTGGAGGCTTAAAGGAGTCAGGATATCGAAATGACTGGAGAAAATACACGTGTCTAACTTTAGGATGCTCCCATTTGGTTCCCTAGCACAGGTTCTGCTATAAACCCCTCTTTTTTCTTTTTTGCTCATCGCTTTCTCGGCACAAGATGCTGGTTTTGTGCTCAAAATGGGGTTTCTCGGATGGAAAAACATCTGAGTTTTCCCTTGAACTTGCTGTTTCACGGAATCACTGAGATTGGAAAAGCCCTCCCAGTCCAACCTGTGACTGATCCCCACCCTGACACCCAGCCCAGAATTCCCAGGCTGAGTGGAGGAATTCCACAGCTGAACAGAGGCTCATATTTTCTCCAGACTCATACAAAATTATCTAAAACAGCATTGCAGCAATTCCAAGTTTTTCTGACTTTAAAAGTATCCAAGATCCCTATTCCCTAATTCCAGCAGTTCAATGCAGAAAGTAAAGAATACTTGAAAAAAAAAAAAAAAAGAATCATTTAATAGAAATTATTTCTCCAGGGCTCACTTTAAAAATAACAGATCTCATTTTGAAACCCTCCTATGAACGTACATTCCCGTCAACGTGACCCGAGTTATTTTTATGGGCATTTTATACATTAAATTTAGGAAGGCAAAAATCATTTGGAGATCGCTTTTTTTCCGTACGTTCGTGTGGTTTCGGCCCTTCCTCCAAAAAATGACACGGGAGACACAAAGCCCCGAAGGCTCCCAGTGAGCTCCTATATTGATTTAACTTATCAGCCATCACCAGAATTCCATCCATCCTGCGGCGACCTCCCTGAAACCGGACCCGCTCCTTTGTCTGAAATCCCGATTTTTTTTTTTTTTTTTTTT